GCGGTGGTAGCTGAAGTCGTGCAGCGCGGGCGAGCGCAGCGAGGTGCTCCACACGCGCTGGGCGTTGCGCAGCGCCAGCCCCAGCGCCCACACCGAGGCGCGTGGAGAGGAATTGAGCACCCCCCCCTCCCGTCCGCACCCCTTCCCCGCCCCGCCCGGAGCCCAGCGCGATGAATTCTACAGCGGCAGTTAACGTTCATGAGGTTGCGTGCTCCGCGTTTAAGCCGCGGGAGCGGCGGGGTGGGGCGAGGCGAGGGAAAGGGGTGTTCTTCTCGGAGGCGTTCCCGCACCGCTTTGGCCCGGGGGCGGGTAGGCCGCGGCGGCCCAGCGTCGCCCTGCTGCTAAGAGGATGAGGGCCATGAGGGCCTCGAGCAGCTCGCGCCCCACGCGCGCCCCCCGCCTGCGCACTTTGCAGGAGGTTAATATTTACCTTGGAGTAAAGCCGTGCGGGGAGCATACCCATTCGTCGTTCTGCAAAAGTTCCGCACGTCGGCGCGGGAGGGGTGGGGTGGTGCGGGAGGGATCAGCAGCCGCGAGGAGAACTCCGTACGATTCCTTGGCGGGGGGCGGGCGGTGTAGGAGGCCCCGGTGGGCGCCCCATCCCCCCAGGTGGGCAGGGCGGGGAGCCCGCCGCCGCGCTGACCGCAGGCTCCGCAGGCCCGGCCCGGCCCAGCTCCGCCCGGGGGCCACGAGGCTGCGGGTGACAAGCCGACGGGGGCCCCGCTCCCACTCCTGGGCCGGGGCCGGGTTTGCCGAGGACTTGTCGGAGATTCGGAGCGGCTCAGAGGCGCGGCGTAGAGCAACGGTATTGAGAGGGGAGGAGGGCTGGGGGAGCCGGCTGGGCTGTGTATTGGGGCGGCCGCGCCCTGCGCCGGGTGGGGAGGGCAGGGGGGCCGGAGCGCCCCGTAGCGTCACCGCAGTCGTAGAATATTCGACGACGCTCAATCAAGGACCCGCCTCCGCAGTGAGGGAAGGGGGCAGGTGGAGTGTGGGAGGCGGGGGGATCGAGGGCAGGAGAGGGAGCGGGGCAATCCGACGAGCCAGGCACTCGACGTCCCCATACGCCCCATGCTCTCTGGGGAGGA